TCTCATGATTGTTGTAATATTGATGGTACCATGATAGAGATTAAGTCAAGTGTTTCTTATCATGGCATTAGTTTCTCTTCAAACCTTTGCTGGTTGTCTCATATTCTTATAGTTTCTAAGAAAGTTTTCCGTCTGACTTATTACATAAAGAAGTTGAGGCACTCAGGTATAACCCAGTCTCTTCTCATACAATTTATTAATTCATGTGTTTTGCCCATCATTCTTTATTGTTCTCCATTATTCTTCCCTGGGCTACTCAAAAAAGACCATATAATACTACGAAGAACATTGAGGGCTGTAAGTAGGGTCAGTGCTATCCCTTTGACTCAACTAACTGACACTGTTGTCAATAGGCACATGAATTCTTGTAAACACTTAGCTAAAGTTATTTTGTCTGATAGTGAACATCCTCTTTATTCACATTTGTTTCTTTGTATCTCTTCGGGTAAGACCAGAAGAAATTTCATAAACATTTATGCTCGTACTACAAAATATAAAAATTCGACCGTACCATATTTTGCACGAGTATTGTGTGAAGAGACAAATATCAGAAAAGAACTTTTACAACTTTTAAATCATTAACTAAACTATAAAATGTAATGATGCATATTATTGCATGTGTTATTTGTTATATTATTTATTTATTATTCACTATGACCTAGCAATGGTGTGATTTTGTTGGGGTTTATATTTTTTCCTATTAACTATCAATATTTTAACATTTCAAACATTTATATAAATATAAAAAGAGCTAAACCAATGCAATATGTAAAATGAAACGCTGAAAATTCCATGCTGTAAATTGTTATTGTTGTGGAATAAAGTGATTATTATTATTATTATAGAAAGGGGATCCACTAAGATTCATAGACAAAAACATGAAAGAAAAGCATTCATCACCAAAAGTCAGAACCGTCCCTAAAAATACTTTCTTCATGAACTTGAAATTCAAAGGTGACATCGAAGCAGAAATTCTTAGAAACCACCTTTCTAAATGCCTGAAGAAGACATTTCAAGCAGCCACCATATGTATCACATTCTCCAGCAGACAGTTAATCCAGTCTAGCTTTAAGGATAGATGCCGCTTTTGGCCACGTCATTGGTGTGTACTTTTCAGTTTACTTGTTCGTGTGGAGCAAAGTATATCGGCCGGACGCAGCGTCAAGTCCGCAAACGTATTCTGGAATACTGTGCAGTTTGGCTAATCAGCCAGAAGAGAAAAGAAGAATACTAGAAGCTCCATCCTCGAACATCTTGTCAAACTCTGGACATCAAGACCCCCACTTGCACGAATGCTTCACGGCGGCACACACAGTCCTTCAATATCCTACAAAGGGACTTCGCATACATCATCTGCGCATAGTTGAACCATTGACTATTCGGGATCTGAAACTAAAACTCTGCATTCAAAAGTAGTGCATACACACACTCGCCCTATCGTGGCCAGAGTAATGTTCTTGCTACAATTTTGCATCTATTTTATTATGTAAGTTTGCAATTATTTTATCGTGATTAATATTATTTTATTATCATTATTACTCCCATCATCCATATTTTATTGCCACTATATTACTGTTTATTAATAGCACCGCGTTTTCATTCAGATTTTATAAAAACACTTTATCGCCTTTCCACTAGTTCTTGTCTATTCTAAACAGCTACATTAACTAGTCATTTTCTCACACTTATCACATCATCCCAAATTCTGCCCCCTTTTTCTAACTTCCACTAGTCACCCCACTACATTTTTCGAGGACAAAGTTTACCAGTATCTGATTGGCCTAAAGATTTCTTTGTTAAATATAATCACGATTGCTACAGCTCATGAAAACGAATCATAGAAAAGGGGAAATTTTCTTTGCTGTTTACGTCATTTTCTTATGACTCAATATGAGAATATTTTGTACATATATATGTATCCTGAAGGTGGAAAATTACCCCAACACCCTGTTCTATTTCATTAACTTGATGGTTTTAGGTCTTTACTGATTTCGACACTGAACGTGCCAAGTTCGAATAACTTCAAGATTGGATATTTGACTTGAAAGATGGGTAAACCATCCTGATAACTATTTATAAGTCAGAAATTTATACTTAAAGATTATCACTGATATTTTGCCAATTCGTGTAAGGTAGTCTCCCCGTCACAGAAAAGCTTTCACTGTAGCGGTTAATTCTTTCATTGATTTGGCTCCCTTTAAGTTACAATGACGTGTATTTAAAAGCGAATACACTAATAATTTGTGTTAAGAGATAGTTGTCAGCATTCTGGACATCGAAATAGATAGTATGGGTTCAATTACTAATTAATTAATTTTAAGATTTTATAAAATTATGAGTAAGATATTTCTTCTTCAACAAATAACTACTGATAACTCTTCGTTATCCTATAGTCTTCACTATTCATTGGAGTGTCATTCAATTAGTCTCAAGAAATGCTTTTAAATTATTATATACTACTCATGAGTATGTCAAAGTTTTAATAATAATAATTTGCATTATTCCAAAAACAGTATTAATGATACAGCAAGGAATTTTCAGCATTCAGTACAATATTGCATCTAATTTACTCAAAAACGACAAAAAAAACAAAATAAAAAATAAACATTACACAGTAATAATAACAAAACGTTGTTATTTAGCTATTTAGCAAATTTCTGTATGCAATACGGAGAAAAATATGCATATAGTATAAAATTAGAGTAATAATAGTAAAAACAACTAAAATAAAAATAGCAAAGTCATTAAACGATAGAAAGGGTGACACCATAAAATTACAGAAAGATGAACGATGAAAGGGTCGATTTACTTGGCCAAATACAAAGTAACTTATATGTTTCACGTCTAACAGTGTCTCGATCACATAAAATACGGGCTAAATTGGGTATTGTAGAATTTTTGTACTTAGTGGTGCGAGCATATAACTACTCATATTGACTTCTCGCCCTCCCTACCTGATGAGATATGCAAGGATATAGTGGTGAATAAACTGGGTGCAGGAGATCTGACAGTACAGCCGTCGCCCATTTTGGACAGGATTTTATATGTCTCTCTACTATAATATTGACGAGCTCATGGAGTGGCATACTACAAGCCCTCCTCACAGCATTTAATACCCTTCGTAATATGACAAAGTCTTTTTTGAGAAGCCCAGGAAAGATTAATGGAGAATAATAGAGTACAATAGGTAAAATACAGGAGTTTAAAAATTGCAGAACTAAAGGTTGGTTGATACCTGATTGTCTTAACTTTTTAATGTAGAAGGTAAGACGAAACATTTTCTTAGAGATTAATAAGATGTGGGATGACCATGAAAGGTCAGAAGAAAGAACTAATCCAAGGTATTTAATGCTTGACTTGGTTTCAATTTCAGTGCCATCTATGCTACAGGCATCATGGGAACAAACTAGTTCATGTATGTCACGTCGATGCATGAAAGTAAAGTTAACTACCTGACATTTGGAAGGATTTAACATAAGACCATTTGACTTAGACCACTTGCTGATGTCCAACACAAAGCTATTAAGTTTGGAGCAGTCAAACTCGGAAGTGATAGGCAGTCAGTCTTTGTTAAATATAATCACGATTGTACAGCTCATGAAAATGAATCGTAGAAAAGGGGAAATTTTCTTTGCTGTTTACGTCTTTTTCTTGACAAATGTAAAGGGTTGGTCACTGGATTTCATCATGAGCTGACATCGGTTAGATAACCATTGGAAAACCTTCAGGGAGTACTGAATACCTATTCCATCGTAGTGTTGGACTCTTCAGTAGTACACACTCACAGGGGTTCAAACTATTCCGATTACAAGACGAGCTCGTAGACCATTCAGCAGCCACTGGGACCCGATCCAATGGTCAGCCCATGAATTCCAACTTCTGTCAATTCACAACATAGCGCGACCGCTAGCCAATGTCTTCGCCGAATATTTGTCCTCACACCCGATCTGTTGCACCCTACTGGTCACGATGTTAGGAGCATGAAAATCTCCTGAGTCTGTGGACTCCTTATATCCTTAGTATTAAATACGTTAAAATGCATCGCAATAATCATTCAACTAGAAATCCAATTCCCTGCTGTGCAAATGCCCGCCGAAGTCATAATACAATAGTCCAACGCCCAATACACGTAGAAACGACGAACAAATAAGATATTAATATTATCCTCGTAATAAGATGGCAGCGTACTGAGTACGCATAGATATGGATTTCCTCCACACCTGCTTATGATAAAAATAATGAACAAAAGAGGTAGGAAATCGATTCAAGGGATACCATCTTAATTAGGCCTTAAGCAAAAGATAAAAATGAAAGCCCAAAAAAGACAAACACCAGGAAATATAAAACTAGAATAAAGACAAAATACATCAAACCATTAGACAGTTTCATGCATATCAACTGAGAAACAACATTTTACACATCGTCCATAGACTTCGAACGACACACTGACAATTCGACAAAACACGTCGCTTGCTATCTCACAAACAATCTGTAAGATTAGAAGTTACTTGGTGGATGGTGACTAGCAGTGGAATCAAGGATAAGGCGCATTTCGTCTTATTTGGGACTCATCAGTTGGATGTACCTGCATTCCGCAGTGAGTGATGCTGTTCTCACTGAGGCAGGTACATCCAGATAACCAGTCCCAAATAGGACGAAACTCGTGGTGTCCTGGATTCAACTGCTATTCACCATACACCAGTTAACTTCTAATTACATGCCCAGACATCGCCAAAGCATCTGCACAAGAAGCCGATAGACATGTCAACCTGAGTACTTCGGTCCAATCAATCGACAAGAAAATTTAAAATTGAATTGAATCTGTAAGAGTGACTTTATCTGTTGAAAAGATTCATTCGAAAATTCAAAATATCCAAGGATAAGGCTACAACATCTACTGAAATGACACACTGTAGTCTACTAGGAATCATCCACTCCACACTGATGAAAACCTTAGTCTGCAGACAGACATCATTAGAGGAGTACGAATGCGATAGTTCATGACACGTAAGTTGGGAGGACAAAAAATGATACTGAGAAGTGCCATTAGTACTTTAAATACAACTGCTTCTTCCTGCACTTCACCTCCTCCTCTTACTACTACTACTACTACTACTACTACTACTACTACTACTACTACTACTACTACTACTACTACTACTACTACTACTACTACTACTACTACTACTACTACTACTACTACTACTACTACTACTACTACTACTACTACTACTACTACTACTACTACTACTACTACTACTACTACACATAAAGCACTACTTATCAAAACTCATCAGTAGTACACGAGGCACTAATGCATCGATTGGTATTCAATTTTCTAAATGATAACGTATCCACTTCATCTACTATCTAACTATCTCCAACCTACACATATTTGGTAATTCTTCACCACTTTTGATTAAATATTTTAGAGATGATGAAACCGGCAAAAATAGTAACCTTAAATAGCAAAGTTTGTAATCGTGTCAACAAATTTCTGTAATTATTTTCTTTGCCAGTTATTTTGTTTTATTTGTTTTTGTTATTTATATCTTTGTACAACACGACATATAGTGTTTTCTTAATTAGAGGTGATATAAATAATAAGGCCAATTAGTTCCGAGTAACCTTCAGACTTACTGTATTTCTACTAATTAGTAGGATGGTGGCACCTAGAGTCGGTGTCTATGGTAGAATTTACCACAGTGTCTGAAGGTCACTCAAACCTAATCAGCCTTATTATTTAGATCATATATCTAATTAAGAAAACACAATATGTCGTATACTTTACACACTACACACATATTACGAAGGCATAACCAACAAAAACAAATAAAATAAAACAACTGGCAAGGAAAATAATTACAGGAATTTGTTTTACTAGTAATAATTCGCTTTATTCCAAAACAGTACTAATGCTACAGTGTGGAATTTTCAGCATTAGGTATATTATTGCATTTCATTTTATCGAAATAATATTAAAAACAATTATAAAGATTATATTACAGGATGGTTAATGACAGTTCTTATTTGGTATTTGTACTGAGAGTGAAGTGATATTTGTGTACGAAAAATTGTGAATAATAATAAGGCTAGTATCAAAGATTGTCAGTCAATTGAGGAACTGTCACACAAATTACAAACAGGAGATAATAAAAGAGCTGGTTATTTAGCTAACAACGGACTAATTCAAAAGTTTCACGCTTTACATTGTCTCTATCTCATGGAACACGTGGCTGACCAAATATGGTATCTTTGTATTCCTATACCTCGTATTAAGAGCATATAATCTTTTGTACTGACTCCTGCTTCTACCAGATAAGATACAAGTGTGGGGAGAGTTGAGAATAGAAGGAGTGTTGAAGGTTAGACACTATGGATTTAGACCACTTCTCACAAGAGTTCAGATGTCTGTCAACCAATGTAGTGACAAGCTGACTTAGTTGCACACCACTTGACCTGCTGATAACCTTTAATACTCTTCTCAAAATGAAATGGTCCATTTACAGTAGCCCAGGAAAGACTAATGGGGAGCAATAAAGTACAATAGGTAAGATACAAGAGTTAACAAATTGTACAAGTAGAAGTTGAGTCATTTCAGATTGCTTTAGTTTCTCAATATAGGAGCTTCGACGAAACATTTCCATGGGGATCGATAAAGCATGGGATGACCAAGTAAGGCCGGAGGTTAGAACTTTACCAAGGTACTTTGTGTTAGACTTAGTTTCTACTACAGTCGCCTCTGTGCTACAAGCAACATGTGTGCTGACCAGCAGTTGTAGATCACTTTTATGTCTAAAGGAGAAGTCGATACTCCGGCATTCTGACGGATTTCACGCAAGATCATTTAGCTTAGACCACTGACTGATCTACAACAAAAAGCAATTAAACTTTCAACAGTCTGATTGGGACTTGACAGGAGGCGAGACTGTCATGTCATCGGCGTGTTTGAAGAAGTTGATTTCGTTAAAAAGAAGCAAGTTATGTCAGAAGAAAGAAAAGGAAAGGAGACAGGACAGTACCCTGAGGAACACCGGCTTTGGTAAGCAAGGCAGAAGATTCACCTTTATGTACAGTATACTACATTCTATTTGAGTAATAAGAATGCAACCAGTCAACGGCACAGGACTCGGTTTGTGTAAAGGAAAGCTTATTTAACAAAAGGCATCTAGGTACTAATTCAAAAGCAGATGTGTAGTAGAGGAAGGTATAAAGTACATATTTGGTCCCTCTGTCTAAGGAGGAGACAATGTTATCACGTACTTCTACCTTGCTTATGAGCAAACTGTTTGGGATCAATAAAACTTTTAAGGAGAGCACAAGGTTGAGTCAAAGTAATTTCTACATTAATTTAAAAAAGAGAGGTCATTGGAATAGGTCTAAATTTAACATTATTCCCAGAATCTGATTTGGGTACCGGGGGTAATTTTAATGTCTTTCCACGCAGCAGACACAACATTACTGGAGAAGAAAGTATTGAATATGTTTGTAAGTCGGTAACGTAAAATATCAGCACATCTCCTGAGGACAACAGCAGATACACCATCAGGACCTAGTCTCTGAGAAGGTTTAAGAGATTTCAAACACTTAAGAATATAAAAAGTGTTAAATACATGAAAGTCACTGACCTCGTTATTTGTTATATTGGAGACAAAAGCATCCCTAGGAGAGTATATGCAGGATTTGCTGAGAGAATTGACATCAACAGAGGGGACATGATTACACTGCTTCCCACAACCTGTAATTTTACTGAAAAGTATCCACATATTTCTAGGAGTTTTACAAGACAAGTCTCTTTGGTTATAAATTGTGTTCCACCGTTGGATTTCTGGTTTCACCAGGAAGTTTATCCTTTCAGACCAGATTTGTCTTGAGATTTGTACAGCCTCTCTTTTCTCTTCGTGGCATTTTTGAGATGAGGAGAAGAGAAACGGTCAAGGCTTTTGCATAGCGTCTGTTTAGGGCAGCACACAACGATGCAAAATTTTTAGATAATCCTCAATATTTGTGATTGTATCATTCAGTGTGTGCTCAGTAAATAGTTCCCAGTCAGTGTCACGTAGCATGTCTCTAATTTTCTGTAAATTATCCTATGACTAGCATCTCTGCTGGGTGTTCTTTTGGAAAGGTGTGAGATGATATTTGAGTGTGACTTGCTATATATTTTGGGCAGCACTCAAATAATACAAAGAGCTGAGTTCATTATAGGAACACTTCTGTGTGCTTCATATATTCCAACATCATATGTGAACACTAAATCCAGTGTTCCGTCAAGACGAGTGGCAAAGTTGACAATATTTATATGGTCAATTGATTCAAGGAAGGGACAGTTGAAGGAAGTGAAGTCACCAGTGACTATTGACAGAGACTTCTCAAGATGAGCAGCAGCAAATACAGTGAATTCATCCGCAAAATCAGATAGATCCGATACAGAACAGCCAGGCGTAACATAAATGTTCAAGATAAAAATGTATTTCTACTTTGATAAGTATTTGGGACTACATTTGATGACAATACAATCGATAAAGCCACTCAAGAATGTTAAAAATACATTGTTTGAAATCGACTACTGAGAATGAATACAGATTGTAACCCTTCCTCCGCATGTCTTTTTGGAGCAAAGTCTGTCTTTCCTGAATAATGTGAAGATATTTAGTGAGATAAAATTATAATCACAGAACTCGTGAAGCCATGTTTTTTGTAGTGTGATTATAGCCGTGTTGTCATAAGTATCAGATGATAGGGGAGACTGCAAATGAATAAACTTATTGGGGAGAGAACGGTGGCCTGTACTAACAACGATGCCACCAACAGTAGATCGATTTAAAGCTGTCCGTTTTAAAGCATGCTCCCATCCAACATGATGTTTTTATTAGCTTTCTTAGAACCTTCAAAACCTAGGAAGACGCAGTGAACAAATTTAGCCCCTTTGTCTTAACTAGAGACGAAGATAGGATTCAAGACTGCAGCTGCATCTAAAGTACTTCTAATATCTTTGTAGGCAAATTTTTGGAATCGATAGAGGCCTCAAAGTCAGGGTTCAAGATTAAGAAGTAAAAGCAACCTTTCCAATGTTTTCAAAAAAGGAGAGGTTATAGTAATAGGTTGAAATTTGACATATTCCAGTAGATGACATAGGTATTGAAAAAACGGCTAGAACAACAGTTCTCGAAAAACATTTATTAAACATGTCAATGAGAGTAGTAGTAGTAGTAGTGTGGTGAGAGCTGTCTACTAGCCAATTGGTTGACAGTAATTGAGGTCAAGGTCAAGATGGACAGGCGGGTGCAGTTAACATACAGATGAACTGACACAGCCACAAGAGGTGCAAGGTTAACTGTGTGTGAGCAACAACCAATCAACAGACTGTATTTTCTACTAACATTAACCTACAATAATGTACATCAAAATCTATAAATACATGTTGATTTTCCGTAATAAACGTTCTGTTGCCTGGCCCTTGTCTTCTGTTGTTACAGTAGTAGTAGTAGTAGTAGTAGTAGTAGTAGTAGTAGTAGTAGTAAGAGGAGGAGGTGAAGTGCAGGAAGAAGCAGTTGTATTTAAAGTACTAATGGCACTTCTCAGTATCATTTTTTGTCCTCCCAACTGACGTGTCATGAACTATCGCATTCGTACTCCTCTAATGATGTCTGTCTGCAGACTAAGGTTTTCATCAGTGTGGAGTGGATGGTTCCTAGTAGACTACAGTGTGTCATTTCAGTAGATGTAGCCTTATCCTTGGATATTTTGAATTTTTGAGTGAATCATTTCAACAGATAAAGTCACTGTTACAGATTGTCAATGAGATAGCAGGTGACGTGTTTTGTAGAATTGTCAGTGTGTCGTTTGAAGTCTGTTGACGATTTGTTCATTGTGGAACTTTAGTAGATATTGGTCCCTTCTAATTTCATATTGGTTTTTCAAGAAGTTCTTCACACTTCACAGTGTTTAATAATTTTTAAGTATTCCATATTATTATTATGTCTTAGTTAACTGCGAATTTATTCATCACTAGATTCTAAGTGAAATACTCTCCACTTATAAGAATCCGAAAACTAAGAGGAGAGACAAATCTGTATTATATGACTGAAGTTAATCTCATGGAAGGCAAATTGTACTATTACTGACCGATATCTCAGAAGATATCTGCTATTTTAAATTGTAATTCAATAAGTTTTAGAAGCTTTAAGACGAAAAACGAATTGCTTTCACAACTGATGAAGCATATTTCTTAAATTTGAATAAAGCAAGAACAACAGTGTGGTTTGTGCAGAATAATATGGTACCATCATTGCTTATT